TACATTGAGATGTTTCTCAACGTTGTACGTTCTTGGCATATCGTCCACTGGGAGTTGCAGGATTGATATTTCCTTTTTGAGGGTGTTCCAAGCCCAAGTTAGATCTAGAATGACCTTCATTGCTGCTGTTGGACAGGTTCTCATGGCTCCTGAGATGCAAACGCATGCTAGTCTCTGGACTTTGCACAGGTTTAGCCTTGCCGTCCGTTGCTCTAGTTTTGTGTACCAGGCAACTGCTCTATAAGTAATCATGGGTCTTACTATCATGGTATACATCCAGCGCAAAATGTTAGGGGAGCAGCCCCATATATTTCCGGCCAGTCTTCTGCATATCATGAGAGCCTTTGTGGCTTTGCTGGTAGTGTTCTTAATATGCCTGTTCCACAGGAGTTTACTGTCCAGGGTTATTTCCAGATATTTAACTTCCTGTGATGGCAGTATTTCCTTTCCATCTAGTTGGATTCTTTTCAAGTTTTTCAGACTTCGCTTTCTGGTGAATGGCCCTATCTCGGTTTTGTCTGAGTTGATACTCAGCCCGACAGTCCTGCACCATCTCTCAGTGATACGGAGTACTCTTTGGATAAAATCACACAGGGTGCCTTCATGTTTCCGCCGAGCGATCATGACTATGTCATCTGCATACCTAATGTAGTGTATTCTCGCTAGAGTTAATTCGTCTAGTAGTTCATCCACTACCAAGCTCCACAGCAAAGGGATAGTTACTCCACCATTACAGTGATATATAATTTATATGGTTTTGTAATAAATCACTCGCTATTTTGTTGCAAATGCTGAAGCTCTGCAAACCTTAATCAAGTCTTAATCAAAGCACGTGTGTTTGGAATTTTGGGTGTGGCTTAACACGACAGGATCGGGTTAAGCCTTAGGCAGATTTCTGAAACATAATATATATTTCCTTCAGCCACACAGTCGCTTTTACCGACCCTTGAGAGCGACCTGAAAGTACAGCATAATAGACCCTTAGAGGCCAACAAGATTCTTCTATAATATACAGAGTGGTCCGAATTGTATTCCGGAAACTTCGGCAGCATATTCTGCAGATAAAAAAAAAGTAAAAAATTTCGTATAAATGTATATCTTAAATTGCGTTTCGGAGATACAGGGTGTAGAAGTTTTAGTTTTATTTTGGTTTTTTTCCAAATAATTTCTGAAGTAATGTCAATATTTGGATGAAAATTAGTGTCTGGGTGCTTTTTCACATGAAAAATTTGATTTTAATATCAATATAACTTCTACTTGTAGAGGGCGTCACTTACATATTTTTTAACAGGTTTGAAGAGTAATAACTTTTCGTCCATATCTGTATAAAACTACTGAGTGAAAAAATGTATATTTACGACTTTCTCCACGTAAAAAATGTCTCTTGGTAAAAATCGCTACGAGTAATTGTTCTCGAGATATTTGAAATCGAAATTATCAATACCTGTCATCATTGACATAAATTAAACATGCTGACTAATTATTATTAGACTGAAACCATAAGTTTGAAATGCTTTTGTACCAAAAGTTCAACAGAAACTATTTAATCATCATTTTTTCGCAGAAAAATTTATGATTAATATAAAAAAATAAAAATTTATTATTTCAGTAAAATAACTATAGGTACTCATTGTGTTTATTTTTTGTCAATAATGACATGTATTGACTATTTCCATTCTAAATATCTTGAGAACTGTATATCTTGAGAACTGTATATCTTGAGAACTGTATGTATCTTTACCGAGAGACAATTTTTTACGTCATGTAAATGTGTATTTTTTCACTCAGCAGTTTTATACAGGTACGGGCGAAAAATTATGGAAGTACTCTAAAAAGAATGCCTGCATAAGGTGATGCTGGGAATTGTTTTTCTTAAAAATGCATTATCCGAGTATTTAATACGATTTATACAGTTAATTTTCTATACTGCATACATATAAGGTGTTTAAATAAATAAACTAAATAATGAACGTTTTGTAACCGGCAACCAATAATGCACGTGTGTATATTATTGGTTGCCGGATAATAACTAATAACCATGAAAAGGACTACAATGACGTCACAAAGTGAGGAGTTTTCGCATGCACCTGGCAGACACTTTTGGCTGAATGAGCAGTCCTATTAGGTTAACTGTTCTTGCAAAACACCCAGAAGCCAATTTTCAGCCAAATATTGACGTTACTTCAGAAATTATTTGGTTAAAATCGAAATAAAAATTAAACTTTAGGATAGAAGCATTTTAGGATATACGCACTTTTTTATCTGCAGAATACCTATGTTGCCGAAGTTTCCGGAAAACAGTTCGGACCACCCTGTATATTGTAAATAATATATTGTATATAAATTTCTAGATACTTATTTATTAGAGACGTATTTAGAAAAATACTATACAGAAATAAAAAAAATATATAGGAAACTGCGTATCATATTTCTTGAAGTTATGAAAAATTGTTAGAATTGCTATTTATCCGTTAAAATAGCTATAGGAATTATTAATATAATTTATTATTTTACTTATTTTTGTCAGCTTATAACTCGGACCACCCTGTAAATTAGGTATCTTTGTTAAATCAGAAAATCCGACACGACAGTTTTATTTAAAAGAAAACATTATAAACTACCTTTAAACAATAGTTCTGTATTTATATTTCAATTTTCTTATCAACCAACGTAACAAAATATGAGTAAAACCATATTTCAGACCATACATGCAACTTTATATCCTTTATTATACCCTAAAGTCTAGTTTACATTGAAAGAAAAAAACACCAAACACGTCCATAATATAAAAAGAGAGATATTCAAAGTTATGTAATAAAAGTTTTCTGAACTTGAGTACAACGTTCTAAAGATGGCGGTGGGTGGTTCGAAAAAGTCGTTCCCTCTTTTCATTTCTTCGTTTTTTCAAGTAAAAGATGAGAGGATGCTCTTTACGAAAACCGTTCTGCGTATTACGGCGAAATGTTTATATTTTTGTGCAGAGAAGATGGTTGCAATATTACTTTGTGTATGAATTACTTTATTTTGCTCGTATTTGTTTGGGGATATTGCAGTTTTACGTGACTAGTTCCTGATGAAGAAGAGAAAAATTTCAGTTCAAATACTTGTCTTCTAAGACTTAAATAAATGCAGTATGATCAAGATATTTGGAAAAATATTATCTTGCGTAACCTTCTCACAAATTATTATTGTTGAAAACAACTATTTGTTTTTCAGAACATTATTAATGAATTACTAAAAATTAAGAATTTAAAGAAAAAAACAACTAAGAAATTTAAAAAAATGCAAAATAAAACACTAATTCACTACAATATACTTTACTTTTGAACTGGACGCACGTTTTGCTAACCATGTTAGCATCATCAACAGGCTATATCTTATGAGCCATATGTTCTTTAAATCTAGTTAATATTGATCTTCTCTAGTTTGCCCAACATTATTTCTAACCTTTACATGATATCTCATTAATACCCCACCTTTCCAGTGCAGGTGTTTTATCTTTAGGATTATCAACAAACTAACTAACAAGAATTTGTTACGTACAGGAAAACGAAGAATATGCATTAGTAAACAATAATTAAAAAAAATAATGAGGAAACATTAACTTTGCCTTTAAATATATTCTTTGTCACAATAACCAAAACTTACAAACCAAAATGTTGTATCCTATATTATAGGGCTTGTTTCTCTCTACAATTTCCTGTCTCACAATGTACCGTTTGTGTCCGGGAAGGTATCATAGTTTCATAGTTGTCGATTTTCGAAAGAAATCAGTACATGTATATTAATTCGTATATTTTTCATTTTATTCATTTTATGGAAAGCACTGTTCGTTAAAATGTTGTATCCTATGTTATAAGGCTTGTTTCTCTCTACAATTTCCTGTCTCACAATGTACCGTTTGTGTCGGGGAAGGGATCATAGTTTCATAGTTGGCGATTTTCGAAAGAAATCAGTACATGTATATTATTTCGTATATTTTTCTTATCTTTTATTCATTTTATGGAAAGCACTGTTCGTTAAAAAGTTGTGCATCCTATGTTATAAGGCTTCTTGTTTCTCTCTACAATTTCCTGTCCACAATGCAAACCGTTTGTGTCGGGGAAGGGATCATAGTTTCATAGTTGGCGATTTTCGAAAGAAATCAGTACATGTATATTATTTCGTATATTTTTCATTTTATTGATTTTATGGAAAGCACTGTTCATTAAAATGTTGTATCCTATGTTATAAGGCTTGTTTCTCTCCACAATTTCCTGTCTCACAATGTACCGTTTGTGTCGGGGAAGAGATCATAGTTTCATAGTTGTCGATTTTCGAAAGAAATCAGTACATGTATATTATTTCGTATATGTTTCATTTTATTGATTTTATGGAAAGGACTGTTTATTAAAATGTTGTATCCTATGTTATAGGGCTTGTTTCTCTCTACAATTTCCTATCTCACAATGTACCGTTTGTGTCGGGGAAAGGATCATAGTTTCATAGTTGTCGATTTTCGAAAGAAATCAGTACATGTATATTATTTCGTATATTTTTATTTTATTGATTTTATGGAAAGCACTGTTCATTAAAATGTTGTATCCTATGTTATAGGGCTTGTTTCTCTCTACAATTTCCTGTCTCACAATGTACCGTTTGTGTCCGGGAAGGGTTCATAGTTTCATAATTGTCGATTTTCGAAAGAAATCAGTTTCAGATTTTATGGAAACACCAATGCGTCTTCAACGGTAGTCAAACGGCTATTATTACCTAACACCCATCATCTCTGTTCGTCGTCTAATTTCTCTCTCCCTAGTTTACGTATAAGTATTTTAAAAATTAATAATGATATATACAGAGTGTCTTAAAACTGCCTGTTTTGAATTTAAATTCTGAAAAAGCTTTAAAAACCGAAATATATATAGAGACAATATATTTATATTCTAAAATGATTTGTTTTAGTACAATCACATTAATTGTACCTGGCATAATATGAAATCTGATATACCTATAGGACAGTTATCATGCACACCTGTATTGTTTTGACTGATCCAGTCGCTTTGACAGCTACAACAGTGACATTTTTTACCCCGTCCTATTACATTTTCTACATCTCAAGTTTTGTTGTTTGGAAGTAGCTAGAAAGAAGGCAAATTTTCCGTAAAAATCGCCTTGGGCATAGCATGAAAAGAACATTTCTGCGGAGCGATAAGGTATTGGAAGAAAAATGGAAATTATCCCTTTTTTAGTTGAAGATATAATGTACGGTTGGTTTTGATTTGATTAGTTTTTTGAAACGCTTGTATTTTGTAGAAAAATTACCGGGAAGAAGAGAACAACCAGTACTCAGTGGGTGACTTGGATTTGATCAATCTAAGGTAAACTATTTTGAAATAAGAAAAAGAAACTGTTATGTGAAATTTCCAATGTTTTGGATAGTTATATTACTCTCTGGTTTTAAGCAAATAAAAAAACTACACGTTCTAAGCTAAACATGAGTGATTCAAGCTGGAAAAATTGATTTACCTATGAGATTGTACCTCAAGAACTCTTGCTGTTTGTTGTTGTTGGCTTTGGTTTAATTGAGAAAAGTTTTTCAAACCAGTGCTTAACTAGCTTTAATTTTTTTTTTGTTTCTTCCAATATGGATCTTTGTGGACAACTGTAGCCCAACACCACTAAATTTTGTGTTGATTTTAGTCTCTGGATTGATTCTACTTTTAGACTTAATCTGTTGAGATAGACCTATTTTTTCAAAATCTCCAACGATCTAAGATAATAAAAAAAATTCTCGGGACTTAGGACCGAGAAAAATCAAAGATTTTCGTTGATTTAAGTAAGAACAATCTTCGGATTATCACGGGTTTGTGAACAGGAACAGAACCAGTTTGTGAACAGGAATTGGAAACAGTTTGTGAACAGGAACAGAACAACAATATCTTCACAATGAACACCTCAGTATTGAAGCTAAGTAGGCCAATCGGCAAGTGCATCGATGGCGGGAGCAAATCCGGACAAGCTGGAATAAGTTTTATTTTGTTTAGTTTGGTGTCGAGAAGCACGTATTAAATTTGCACTCCCCGTAAAGCCCGGATTTTGCCGCGATCTTGGAAAAATTGGCTAAAATTCGGTTTATTTTTCATTATTTGTCAATAACTCGATTTCTATCAACTTTACTGCAAAATATGTAGAGACCAAAATTAAAGAAGAGATCTCTATAAAAAAACGTTGTATGGTTTTTTTTCGTGCGACTACTCAAAGTATCGAATTTTACGAAAACAAAATTAAAGTTTGATATAATGTACGTGTTCAGTATATCCGGGGTTAACTGTACTTGTTTCCACACCACCTTGAGCGGCACCCCCGAGACATAAAGCCTAAAAACTTGTTTGCTACTGGTTGGCAGTAGCCTGCTGTCGCGGTTATATATATATATATATATATATATATATATATATATATATATATATATATATATATATATATATATATATATATATATATATATATATATATATATATATATATAGGGTGTTCCATTAGAAAAAATACAACTTTGATGTGTAACTTTTTTTTGGGGACACTCTGTATAATTCTCTATATTTTTATAAAATGCTTTCAGTTAACCTACATATGCTGCCAAAAGTTCATTTCGATATAAACTACCGTTCTCATTGGAGCTTCCGCGGCGTATGAGAGGCGCCACCCTGTATTATTGTCCTTAGACAATGTATTTACTTACAACTTTGTATTTTTCTAGGCTCAATTTGCCTACAGACTATCCAAAGCAAGAATCACACGACAAAGGATCTGGAGACACATATTTATCTCATAAACTGGTAAGATTAAAATATAGAGAGCTCTAAAAAATTTGTTGGTAAAAAAAACACGTTTTTAGCACTCTCACTCACATAGAAAACCAACTTCAAACGTTTCCCCGAGAAGAACTCTGGAACAGTTCAATCCTGGAGTCTCTCCAGCGGGATATGATCGTCGCAGAACACTTCAAAAGCAATCGGCAGAAGAAATAGTGTTCCTTTACAGTAAGGGCGAAGAGAAAAAAGTGTTCACCACCGAACCAGTGCAAGAGGGAGATTTTTTGTATCCCACCACGAAAAAAAATCATCATTTCAGGTAAAAAATATGGGAAAAATAAAAATAAATTAGTCTTACAGTTGCTTTCAGTTTGACTTTTTGATTCGATTCGAAGGGTTTTTGTAGTTCAAAATTAGACAGCAGCAGATCCAATCAGAATTTTCCTTTTAAGTTGACACCCAGTGGAAATCTCAAAGTCGAATCCTCACAGGTAAGGATCATATTTCTCAAATTTTTGAAAGTAATGTGTAAGATGGCAGGGACGAAACAGTATTAGTATTTATTTTAATTCTGTTCTATCTAGGTCGTTTTTTCGTCAAAAAAACTCAGCGTTCTCGTAGCCGATCCCAAGAACACCAAAGTCAACATCACTCCAGAACTAACCACGGAAATAATGGCAAACCAGGAAGTACCGAACTTTAAGAAAACCGTCACCAATCCCATGGAGACCATCATGAGCCAAGCGGGTGGATTTAGCTCGCTGGGTTCAATAATCGGTACGTCACCCATCAGGAACCCGCAGAAGGAGGGTTCAGAGTACGAGAGCAAAAGAACCAGCGAAATACTGGACCCAGAACTGAATTTGAACCGCTTGGGGTACACCAGCAACGAGGAGATCAATTGGGAGAAGGTTAAATTGCCGGAAAAGCAGAATTTGTACCTCGAATTGTACCAGAGAATAACCAATAACACGTAAGTTTTTATTATGAGGATGTACCTCATCTTTATATAGTTTTTTGTCATTGACTTATACAAAGAACCGTACATTTGCCAGCCTGTAGCACTGACATAATATGTTCTATCCATAGGTTCTATCGTTTCTTCTTCAGAGTGACAAAATCTGCACATGGTCAAACTGTGGTCAAACCATCACATTTAGATAATTTTGTCTCTATATCTTTAATCTCTATTTTCAGAAATGCTGACTGTAAAGTGTATATTGATAATGAAGAGTTTAGCTGTCACTTAATCGTGCTCCAATGTTACTCTGAATTATTCGATGCTTATGTAGCTGTCAAAAAGGTAGAACTACCTTCAGTAAGTATTAATTATAATAAAATTAATCTTATCCATTATTCCTAGACATAAAGTAAAAAAAGGGGTGCCCTAAAATTTGAATTAATTGAGAATGAAGAAGATATTCAGTATTTAGTAGTGAATTATTATTAATTATTATATATCATTATTTTAATTTTTCTTTTAGGATAAATGCAGTGTTGCCGCGTTTGGTTTTATTTACGGCTGGATGATAACCGGAGAACCATCATACGTGCATCTGGACAGACAAAACGTTCTGGATATATTCGTGTCCGCGAAGTACTTAAAAATAAAAGGTTAGTACTACCTATAGCAAAGTTAGTTCTCCTAGGTGCAGATTTTCTCCAATCACAGGAGAACACCTGTAGTATTTTTCTTAAAGACATCGAATAAAAAAAACTAAGAGATGAGTCTTGACAGGGACTTTTTTTCTAGATTTAGTGGAGCAATGTTGGGCATTTATCGACAACATGGACGTGTTCAACGAAGATACGGCGTTTTTGTTGTACATGGACGCGAAAAAACGATCGCTTCCCGAAGTGAAGGAGCTGATGTTGCCCAGAATCAAGACCTTCTTCTTGATCTTGGTCAGTTCTCAGGAATGGCTAGACCTGGAGGTGGAGGATGTTAGGAACTTGCTGAAATCCAACTATATTTCTATTAACTGGTAAGAATATTATTATTTACCTACAATATTAGCATCACCATTATTATGGTGTAGCCTCTCTCACATATTTAGATATTCTCTTTGTAAATGGATCCATTGTTGGTCTATTGTTGGCTATGCGAGTCCACGTTATCCCTGCTAATTCCCTAATATCAGTCCCATCTCATGTTTGGCCTTCTTCTTTCAAAAATAAAGATTTCTTTCGTTTTGGTCATTAGTGAAATGGAAGTATTCATGTCGGCAGTACGTTGGCTGAAGTACGACTGGCAAAATCGGGACAAGTACAAGTACGAAGTACTGGAATGCGTACGATTCGGCAACATCGCACCCTGGCAACTGGTCGACATCAAGAGAAACCCCGAAAATCCTGATTTCATGGAGCTTGCCAAAGACCTGAGAATATGCAAGATGATAGACGATGGATTGGCGTAAGTATACAGGGTGTTACAAGAAACACGTGACATCTCAATATAGGTCCGATTCTGCTTTGTTTCGTAGCTACAAAATGTTAGTCTTCATTTTTGTCAATTTACTATAATTTACTTTCGAATGCTTTTAGCGTTTCGAATGAAATTTTGAGGGTAAAAGTTACTATACCTAAGTGTTACATATTTTAGTACCAAAAATAAGTCCACAGATTACCAAACTACCATTAATAAATTATTTATTTAATTTACTTTATGATTAAATTTTATAGATTGAGAATTTATAAAATATTTATATTTTATTTTTATTTTTCATTTTTTTCTTTTTATTTTTTATTTTCTTTTATTTTTATTTTTTATTTTTATTTTTTTTTTTATTTATATGTATTGTATTTTTTTCAGTGCTACCTACAGCAAAGTCAAGAAAAAAATAACGGTATATTTAAGAAAATTAAAACACTTTTTTAGCATTAAAATATTATATACCTTCAAATAGCCAGAAGCACTTGGAAGAAAATTATAATAAATCGAAAAAAAAATAAAACTTTAACACCCTGTAGCTACGAAACAAAGCATAATCGGACCTATGTTGATATAAAAATAGCGGGTGCGTCTCAAAAATCATAGCTCACCCCCTATAACTTTTTTATTTTTTCAGATAAAAAAACGAGATTTGGTAAGTTAGTATGTGACATAAATTAGGATTGATTGGTGTATTCAATTGTTTTTGGTCACTTCCTGTTTCACCGGAAATGACTAGAACTTTTGATTTTTAAATGGCACCCTCCGTATTTTTTTACTTTATTCGATAGAAAATGACATTCTGAATAGAATGACATATCATATGTCAACTTTTGACATTCTCGCTTAATTAAAAAAATTGTTTTTAAAATTCAAAGGGTGCCATGTGTATGTTAAAAACACTAATTCTTCATCAAGAAGCCTTGGAAAAATATATTTGATCGTCTAATGTTTTTAGTCTCTTGTCCTGGACGATTAAAAGATGCCCAAATCGTATTTTTAATCATATCTCAATTTTTTCAAATGGACCGAGGATGGCTCATTAGCATATTTGGAAAAAGCATTTTTTACGAATAATTTGATACCACACACTTGGTATTTCAAGTCAAATTTTCGTTACGAACCGCAAGTTATAATTTCAAATAAATCATATGCGAAAATGTCAAAAGTTGACATATGATATGTCATTCTATTCAGAGTGACATTTTCTAACGAATAAAGTAAAAAAATACCGGGGATGCCATTTAAAAATCAAAAGTTATAGTCATTTCCGGTGAAACCGGAAGTGACCGAAAACAATTAAATACGTCAATTAATCCTAATTTATGTCATATACTAACATACCAAATCTCGTTTTTTAACTAAAAAAATAAAAAATTTAGAGAGGTGAGCCACTTTTGAGCACCCGGTGAGCACCCGGTATATCTTATATTTACGTGAAGAATCATCTCCCCACGAGAGATTTAAGTTTATAAGTTTTTTGAAACACCCTGCATTTTTCTGAATTTATGAATCAAAAAAAAACATTGAAATTGATTATATTATACCGTATGATCGAAAAAAAACGGCGTCAGCGATGGCTATGAAATGAAGATCGCTGTCATTTTATATGTAAAATTGTATGGAGAATCTGTCATCGATGTTCATTTCTAAGCCAACTGGATACCGTTTTTTGTTTTATAAATGGGAGTGGTTAAAGTTGCGTTAACGGAAATTTAACTTCTTTTTCTTAAAACCCCGTCAACCGAACGGAACTTTAATTTTTCCCTTAAACTTCCGTTCAACTAATTTAAAGGTTTCTTTTTTTCCTCGAACAGATTCGTTATAATAAAGTACTGGTACGGCCAGGAAAACAGCGACTTCCAGCACTGGAACACGGTACTAGGCTTGCAGGAACCAGCCACGAGAAACTGGACCGGTCTGGAAAGGAGCTATCTAACGTTCAGAGAGTTCCTGATCTACCTGGATCAGTACCGGAGGAATCAGCTGATCGAGAAGAACAAGCCCAAAGTTGCGGAGAAGGGCGAGAGAAAGAGCCGGGACGAAAAGTACCTCTCTCAAAGGAGTACGCCTCGAGTACCGACAATGGAGGAATTTCTGGCCAAAAGAAAAAGCGGAGGAACTAAAAAAGTTAACAAAGTGGTGTCTTAATGTTTATCCGGTGGTCTCTGGTTCATTTGTATTTTTTTTCTTATAATTTAATTCGTGAATAAAGCAAATCAGATACTGAACATTGTTTTTTGTACTTAAATAAATAAAAATCTATATTTTTTTATATTTTCTTTAATTTGGGACATCAGAAAATAAAAAAACGCAACTTAAAAGGTTTTTTTCATGTTTTTTTCGTAAAATACATTTAAATTACGTAGTTAATGATATGCAACTCAAGATACTGAGCGGTATTTATGGTTGCATATATTAAAATATGCCTGCGGTGTTGTCAATGTGAAAAATTATTCTTAAGACTTTAGGAAATATTCAGAGAAATCTAAAAAACCCTTTATTTAGATGTCTTTGGAAATATTAAATTCAATTATTATAAAATTGTTAGCTTAAAAATAAAAATAAACTTATTTAGTAATACCGTATGATCAAAAAAAAAACGACGTCAGCGATGTCTATGAAATGAAGATCGCTGCCATTTCATATGTAAATTTATATGGGAAATGTCATCGATCGTTATTTCCCAGCCAACTGGATTCCGTTTTTTTCGATCATACGGTGTATAAAGTATACAGGGTCGCTGATATGTATGGAAACGGTCGATTATTGGGTAAAATATACGAGGTACCGCAAAAAGTTAAATATAAAAGCTATGGGGTTTTTAAATGTCTATATATTGGCGTGTAATAAATATAAGTATACAGGGTCGGTTATAAAGTCGTGATACATCAAAGGTTCGTTTTTTTAAATGGAACCCTCCGTATATTATTGCATATTTCAATTCTAAGTAAAAATCGAGATACACAATGAACCTCAAACCAACCGTTTTTGAGGTATTGCCTTTTGAAAATATCACTTAAACAATTTGATTTAATTATAATTTCGATATGTTAAGTTTCATTTAATGATGCCATTCTGCCGAAACTGTGATACTGTTATAATGAGTTTTAAATGCCTATTAGCTACTAGTAAATTTAAGTATACAAGTATACATAGATTCAATAATCGTAATACATAATGTACATAAATTGAATTGAAATGTTAAGCAAAAATTTTGTAATTTCCAGACTTTTGATATAATCTCATTTTATACATCTCTAAATGCTAACTTGAGAACTAATGTCAAATATTATTAACTATCAATTAAGTATTATATCCTTGGGTTATTTCTTATGATAAAAATGCTTTTAAGCTACCCTATGATCGAAAAAAAAGATATCAGCGATCGCTATGAAAAGAAGATCGTTGTCACCTATGGTTGTCACTTTATATGGAAAATTATATGAGGAATGTCATCGATCGTTATTTCCAAGCCAACCAGGCGCTGTTTTTTTTTCCATTATACGGTATTTTGAGATGATCTATATTAATTTACAGTTAAAAATAAAAAATCAATGAATTTTAAAATAGACTAGTTGACAAAACCCGGCAACGTTGCGAGGAATGTAAATCGCTGTCAAGTCGCGCAAGCCCGAAATTGAAAAGTTTGTACACGGGTGCGGTGTTGTTGCTTGAAAAATCAAATAAAAAAGTGGCAGATTTCCATCCCAAACCGAGGAAAGTGCGGTAATTTTCTGGTAAAAGGTAATATCCAAGCTCTCTACTTTAAATTAGCATGAAAATCCGACAGGTAAAGTCTAAATTTAGCCTGTAATCAGTCAAACTAGTTCAAAACAACATCGATTTGTCGTCTACTATCTAGTGTGTGTGTATGAAAGTTCGGTCTCAAAATGGACGTTTCCTTATTTCTTTGTTTCTGTGATTCTGTTTTCGTAGTTTGTTTGTGTGTAATTGTAATATCTGTGTTTGTTGCGGCCGGCATGTCTACGTCCACCTTTTAAATTGAGGAAATGAACTGTTGTTTCCGGGTTAGGTAGAGAAGAATTTCGTAATCAATTTGTCACCCAAGATTATCCAAACATCTACCTAGATGAGTAATAAAAGTTTCTCAGAATTAAGGAATTTCTCTTGTATTTTTTCTAGGTGTGACAAACACCCGATATGAGTTACCAAAGCCGATCAAGTAAGTCAAAATTTTTATATTTACTATTAAAGAATGCCCATATAATATATAATACTCTATTTATATAAATACTAATAACTTGTTTATAATTAACAAACGTTGCTTTTCCCACAGTCTATGCATTAAAAGTTTCTTATTAATATTATTAGATTAAGTGTACAGGGTGTCCCATTTTCTTGTGTTTTATAGTGTGGGTGCAATCAATATTATGGACAATTAAATTTGTTAGATTTTCTATACAGTTTCAGTAAAAACATCAGATATTAGCACTTTATTACCTTATATAGACGTGGTTTGACCTAATTTAAGCACAAAAATTTAATAAAACTTTTTTGTAAACATAAAAATTAAAAAATATTATGTATTTACCACATTCCAAGCCAGGCAGCCATTGACTTCTTCGATTGACACTGTTGACAGTTAATCGACGGCCTCCGCTTTATTTTAACCTCTATGGCCTCCGCAGACAATTTGCGACGTTGTCAACAAACTTGTTTTAGATGATTTTCTTCTGATATTAATTTCTTCTGCAATTAAAACATATGTAAGCATGTTTTGATGGCTCTTTTTTTTTCGTTTTTCTTCGCGTTTTCAATCAGTTTATTTTTTCAATGTTTTTCTACATAAATGTTTTTTTTTTATAAAAATTTAAAAAATAAGAAAAAACAGAAATTTCAAAAATACCTAATCGGTTTTATTACTTTCATCGTTCTTCTGTGCAAATGCGACACAATTTTTATAAAAATTAAAAAATTGAGGAGAAAAACAATAAAAAATTAATAAAATCACGCAACTATTTTACCGATAACGACTGCACTGTTCTCCAAGCTCGGTCTACTACCGTTTTCGTAAAAAAATTAGGCGATACATTCCGTCAATAAAAATTAATTGGCAATTAGTACACAATACAATATTAATTAGTTAATAATTAACATTATTTTCCTCTAGTGTCGTATCAAAACGCCTCCGACATGCCCAAGTCCAACTCCAAAGACCCGGCTGTCATGTCCTGGCAGCAGAACAACTACATGGGCGATTCTGGTATCCATTCGGGCGCCCAAACCCAGGTACCTTCCCTGAGCGGAAAGGAGGACCTTTCCGAGGATCTCTTCGACCTAGACCAAGGAGGTTACCCGGGTTTTACCCAGGATCAGGTCGACGAGATGAACAGCCAGCTGACGCAGACTAGGTCGCACAGGGTGAGGGCTGCCATGTTTCCAGAAACTCTTGAAGAAGGTAAGAGATAGGTCTAGGTTGTTTTTTAAATATAAAAATAGTTATAAGGGTTTTGATAAAGAAAAAAAAACGGTATAAAGAATTTTTTTGTTTTAGTTACAAATCCATACTTTTTTAAAAATAAAATTTACATGTATATTTTTTTCTGATCTAACCCTACCAGTTTTTTCAATATACAGGGTCCGGCAATAGTGTGTCGGGCATCTGTAGCTCCTAGAATAAAAAAAAACTTAAGCACTTAAACAAGTTTTTTATTCTAGGAGCTATAATAGATGACCGACGCACTATTGCCCGACCCTGTATATTGTAATTGCCATAGCCCTGGTGTTCTACAGAACAGTCTTTATTATTTGTTCTTTTTTTTATTTCCTATCTCCAATTAGGTATCGAAATACCATCAACTCAATTTGACCCTCAGACCCAAACAGCAGTCCAACGATTGGCGGAACCCAGCCAAATGCTGAGACATGCCGTGGTCAATCTAATTAACTACCAAGACGATGCCGAACTAGCCACCAGAGCTATCCCCGAGTTGATCAAACTCCTAAACGACGAAGACCAAGTGGTGGTATCCCAAGCGGCCATGATGGTCCACCAATTGTCCAAAAAGGAGGCTTCCAGGCATGCTATAATGAACAGTCCTCAAATGGTAGCAGCTTTGGTTCGAGCTATATCCAATTCAAATGACTTGGAGACCACGAAGGGTGCAGTTGGTACCTTGCATAAGTTGTCCCATCACCGGCAAGGGTTGCTGGCTATATTCAAAAGCGGTGGTATACCAGCTTTGGTGAAGCTACTAAGTTCACCCGTAGAAAGTGTGTTATTCTATGCAATAACCACATTGCATAACCTCTTGTTGCACCAGGAAGGTTCCAAGATGGCCGTGCGTCTGGCTGGAGGGTTACAGAAGATGGTGGCCTTGTTACAGAGGAACAACACCAAGTTTTTGGCTATTGTCACCGACTGTTTGCAGATTTTGGCGTTTGGCAATCAGGAAAGCAAGCTAATTATTCTGGCTTCGCAAGGACCCATTGAGCTGGTCAGGATAATGAGGTCTTACAATTACGAGAAGCTGTTGTGGACCACTTCAAGAGTTTTGAAGGTATGTTTTTAAATTACTTTGAAATTTATTTTAATTTTTTACATAATGTACAGGGTGTCCCATTTTTGTGTGTTTTCTGGGGTTTTCTATTCTCCTGTATCAGGGACCAGGTTTGATAAGTTGACATTTTGTTTTGTCCAGGTTTTGTCAGTTTGCTCTAGCAACAAACCAGCTATAGTTGAAGCGGGCGGTATGCAAGCCCTAGCCATGCACTTGGGCAGTGGAAGTCAGAGATTGGTCCAAAACTGCCTGTGGACTTTAAGGAATTTGTCTGACGCTGCTACAAAAGTCAACGGACTGGACACTCTCCTGTCATCCTTGGTACAAGTCTTGTCATCGCCAGATGGCAATGTAGTCACTTGTGCTGCAGGTAAATGTCATTGAGATATTATTTTGTTGTCATTAAACTAAAAAAGTTTTTTGGTAACTGTAAGTTTTAATTATAAACCTGTCTTTGAAAACTGTTTTAAAACACAAGAAAAAAACATGTTTTTTTAAAACCTTTTTTTTTAATCGTGGTTATAATACAGTGTTCTATAGTTATCAGGCAACCTTTTTAGTAGAATGACACCGGATTTTGAACAATATTTAACCAGCTTTTTGATATTAATTTGCAGGAATTTTATCGAATCTGACTTGTAACAATCAGTTTAACAAAGAGACTGTTTGTCAGTATGATGGCATTTCCGCGTTGGTGAGGACCATCGTGAACGCTGGAGATCACGAAGAAATCACAGAACCCGCCATATGCGCTCTCAGACATTTGACATCGAGACACGATAAATCAGAACTTCGCACACAAAATCAAGTCAGGTAGGTGATTAAAATATTCCTCATATCTTATTCTCTAGATAAATGACATTATATTTTTGTTACTCCATCATTTGTGACATTTTTTGAAGTTATTCCAATACGTTTATTTAACGACACAACAGTTTTCTGTGTCTTAACTTCACTGGCTTGTCCGCCAACATATTTTCCATCCTGCCCCTTAGTATAGAACTGTCTTTACAGTTTGCAATGTTACAATTGTCAACCTTTATTTTACCATTTTTTGTTGATTGGTGTTTTATAAATGCTTAAACAATCTATTAAATTTTTTACAGAGTTGTTGGTGGTATCCCTGTAATCGTAAGATTGCTGAACCCCCCGTCTCGCTGGCCTTTGGTCAAGGCAGTCATTGGACTGATCAGGAACCTAGCTTTATGTCCTGACAATTTCTTGCCTCTTCGTGAATCGTGCGCCATCAATTATTTGGTGCAGTTGCTGATGAGGGCTTACCAAGATACCCAAAGAGTAAGTAGTAGTATTTTTACAATAACAGTTTGAATTAAATAGTTTTATTCTGGCTTGGATGCGCTCGACAGAAACAATATTAGGGAAATTTGAGGAAAATAGGTTATTTAAATCAAAGGTTAAATTTGTAAGTAGTCCTACTAATTCTATTAAATGAAATGAAAGGAGTGCCGTTCTCTGCCTGGAATAGTCATAAGGTCTGTTCCCAGAAGAATCTCTGACTAGTCAGCGCGTTTCTTATTGGTTGAAATGCGTAAAAACCTGACTAACAATCAGGTTTCTACGCATTTTAACCAATGAGAAACGTGCTGACTAGTCAGATTCTTCTGGGAACAGACATAAATAATAACAAAAACTTACAAACCAAAATAACATCATTTGTGTCTTAAACGGTAGTCTAGGAGCTATTACCTAACACCTATCATCTCAGTTCGTTGTCTGATTTCCCTCTCCCAGTTTGCGAATAATATATTAAAAATAAATAAGGATTTATATATATGTTACAGTGAAAGTGGGAAATTCAGTGATTGTTAACATTCACTAGGAAATGCCAGCAATGGGCTCTTTCGCTATATTTTTTTAGCATAATTGAATAAAGCAATTAATTCTAGAATTTTTTGCTATCTCACTTTCGAAAAAATTTGAAGTCGTTCTTAAGAAAATAAATAAAAACAAAAAGCCCAGAATAAAAATCCTCACTTTATTTTTAATACGTCACACCTGGCATGTTTAAAAGCGACAACACGGCCGCGGCCGGGCCACCATGCTGACCCACCACCACCTCCACACAAGGCAATTCAACCTTTCCAATATGGCGGTGATAGAAGTGCTTTATTTGGCGCGTATTTTAAAACCTGTTTATTTCCAAATAGACATTTTTCACACAAATGTCGGGTTAGATTACGTAATATTTCACTAATTTTTTAATATACAGGGAGTCTAAAGTTCTCCACATAAGTATGGAATTTTTTGTATTATTACTTTTATGAAAACATCAGTTAGTTAATTTTTATAAAAAGGTCTGCTTTCTCAGAAAATAGGTAGTGTTAAAATATTCAAACTTGAAGTAGCATATATAGGGTGTTCAAAATCATCGGAAAAAGAAATAACCAAAAATATATGACAGAAAAAGCAATATAAACTAAATATTCAAATGCAAACACTTACCTACCATAGTTTAGAATTTACTGAACGTTTGATAAATATATACTATTATGGACAGTATAGGAAGTTACTTGTCTTAGTAAAAGCCTTGGTAAATGCTCTTCGAATTATAAACTACACTGGCTTGGGTCAAAAAATATGGAATATTTTTCTATGTTTTGCAGCATTACACAAATGGAAATAAATTTAAGCTATAATAGGTGAGGATAAATAAAAAATATAATATGTGTGTCTAGATTTTATATAGAAAAAAAAACTAAATACCTTTTTGGGGGTTCGTAAGTAAAACTTACGCTTAGCTTAGTTTTCTTTACTCTTTCTCTTTACATAGGGCATTGTCTTTGTGGTAAAGACGTCATTCCTTTTTTTTGCGTAGTTCTTCAATAAAATATTGGATATTCTGAACAAGATGGATTTAATAATAAATTCTGACGTATGTGAGGGACAATTGTGACCTAAAAAAAGACTTACATCTAGGCCATTTATATTTTCAAATGTCAATGTTGTCAGTATCTTTCTGTGATCTTTTTGATGTAAAAAGCTTGATTCTTCTTCCAATATTTTACTTATAGTGAGGTAAGTGTAAGCAGTAGCCATAACTACATCCTCACTAGGGTAACAGAGGCTTTGGCTTTTGACCTTTTTGAGGCATATTTGATACACTTTTTACCCGAGAACTACTAGTAGGAGTGAAATTATCTCTTTGAATAGCTGTTAACCATTTTTTACGAAGCTCGTCATTTTTGGGGAATATAAAAGCAGAAACCTTGGAATCCCCTCTATAATTCCCGTGACAATTTGGAACAGAGCATGCAAAAGGCATGCTACAATAAAATGTTAACCCTTTAATACCTATCTTTTGATTATTATAAGTAACCATTATAAAGTACTATGCAGACTGGCGGCGAAGGCTTTTTACTCATTTAGATGTAATATCTTGATAAATAATTCTAGTTCTTACCTTAAAATAATTTATAATAGAGAAGTATGACAAGTACAAAGGTTTGAAGTTCTCTATGTGGAATGTCTATTTGGATTTTTATTACACTGTGTGTTATTTTGTCACAATTTTCTGATCACACCATGCACTGAACACTAAGAACTAAACAAACGTGTTGCAGAAGTACAACAAACTAGAGATAATTAATTATTTCTGGTATGCAATTGGAACGAGAACCCACTACCGGCTTTTCAGGTTAAAGGTAAACAATTTAATAATGCGCTGCCTTCGCCGCCATATTTGCCTTGCCCACATCATGTTGATTGGCCTTGAGTTGAGGTGGTGCTGGTCAAATCAAATCGCAATGTTGCCAGTTGTTGGCTGGCGCACGAGTACGGTTCTTCAATGTGATTGGGTGTATTTTTCATACGTCATCAATTGGCGCTTTAAAATTATTTCAAATCAAAGCAATTTTGAAGGCCTATAAAAAATTATTCAATATCGTGGAACTATTTTTTTTGGATAAATATACTGAAAATAGTCTTCTATTTCAGATTTTGTCCTTGAATTGGGTATTTTATTTTTTGTGAAAGAGCCCATTATGTATTGGACCAGTGAATGTGGTATTTTAAAGAGATTTACTTCTTTAGTATGTTTATTAAAAATTGTAGAAAATAACGACATAACCTTCCAAATATTAAAAGGGAAAACATAAGTTATTCGTTTTTTCAAACCCGCTACTTCAAGCATATCAAAATTCTGTATATATTTTGTCATCAAAACGTTCATAGTCACTAGGTTCCTTCATATCTTTTTCTCTTACACGCTTAACTTTTGCTATGACTTCATTATATGGCAAAAATGAAAAACAAGCACTATTACATTCTTGCGAGTACCTAGTTTACCTTAATTTTTTACAGAAATTTTCTTCAATAGAGAAAATACCGGCTAGCACTTTTTACAACGATAGCAAAACAATTATACATAACCACAAAAAACAAAGTGAATTTACGCCAGATTGCCGTCTATCAACGTTGCCAACGTTTATCCTAATTTAATGTTATCCTTATATTGTTTATTATTTAACTTATCCTTGTTAATCCTTGTATTTTACAACATGTGGCAACCGCGCTAACTTAATCTTTCAAATTCACTGCTAACGTCCAGGGAATGCTAGCATTCACTAGTAAAAGTTGGTTTCAAAAATAGCTATTGAACTTTTACTAGCGTAGTCTTCAGATCAGTGAATGTGAGCTTTCACTAGTAATTGTTAACAATCACTGATTTCCAACTTTTACTGTAACATATACACGGTGTCTTAAAACTGAATGTTTTGAATTTAAAGAAATATTTTTATTTTTAAATAGGTGGACCTTCGCAAAAATGAAATTTGATAGCGAAGCTCAATTTTGAAAATGGTTTGGCCTGTCGGGTTTTGAATTTATATAATTTTCAAATACATACAATGAAATAAAGAACTTCACTTTGACTTGTTCACACAGTACGGCAAATGCCATAGAAAATTTGAAAATAAACCCTGTTTTTTCAGCGAGCCAGCTTGACCAGCGGAGGCAGCCAACCCCCAGGTACATACGCCGACGGTGTCCGAATGGAGGAGATCATAGAGGGCACCGTTGGCGCCTTGCACATCCTAGCCCGCGAGTGGAACAACCGCGAACAGATCCGGCAACAGCGCGTCATCCCCATCTTCGTGCAGCTGCTCTTCAACGACATCGAGAACATCCAGCGCGTGGCGGCGGGCGTGTTGTGCGAACTGGCCGCCGACAAGGAAGGAGCGGATATGATCGAGCAAGAGGGCGCCACTGCTCCTTTGACGGAATTGTTGCATTCGAGGAACGAAGGTAGGGACACAGCTAGTGGCGTGCATACAGTGCTGGCAACTGTTACTTTTGGGTCAGTATTTACATGTGTCGAAGTAAATCGCATAGGGATCTTATTAAGTCGGAGTGAGAGTAATGCGACGGTGTGCTGTTGCGGCGTTGCCAGATTTCTCCGGTACGCCTTTCGCTATTAAGTAAAGTAAAATCACGATCGAAACCCGCTTATTTTTAAAAGACTTTTTTCGAAAAGATAACTAGATAAAATCATTAAATTTGTTTCTGAGCATCTGAAATGGAATTATAAGCATCCCGTTAAGGTGTCAATTTTTTTATTGCGAGAAAACGTCAGTAATCGCGTCTACGCCCGATTACTAATCCAACAAATATTCGCGATAAGCATTTTTTATAGTCTGTGAAACGAATAACTTTGAATTTGACAGTTCCCGCGGACTTTTCTAGTGTTAATTTTATTAGGTTAGCAACTTGCGGCCATGCTGACGCAATGCCTTTTTTTCTTTGTATTTTGAAAATGATATAGTTTCCATGAAATATATACATAATATACAGTTAATAAATACAATGTATATATATATATATATATATATATATATATATATATATATATATATATATATATATATATATATATATATATATATATATATATATATATATATATTATATACAGGGTGTTTCAAAACAAATGCGAAAAAACTTTAGGGGGTGATTCCTTGTTCAAAATAAAGGGTAGTTTGCTTTATAAAACGTTGGGTCAAAAGTCAACCATAGGGAGATATCGCGGTACAAAGATGGCGGAAAAATAATGTTTTTATTTTTTATCTTGAAAACGAAAAGAGATAGACTAATGAAATTTTATGGAAGCATTACTGTTATGAAAACACACTTTCAGGTAATTTTTTTACTTTTTTAAAATTAGTGGAAGGGGTTGAAATAAACTACCCCTATCATTCTTGTTAACGAAATTTAAAGAAAAATCTTATCAAACACATGCAAATGCTTTAATTTGGATAGTCTAGTTTGTTTAGAAACTTTTTTACCTCTTGTGTTTTTTTGATAAAACTTACCGATTGGAAATTAAAAAATAAAATGTAAAGCATTACATGTCAGGACAAAAAACATTTTTAGATTAAGACTCTAGTGATAATAACGATAATAATAATCATCTAGATAATAACGTATTGCAGTAGAGTAATGTTAAATAAAATAATATTAGGAACATCCTAAAAAGTAACAGCGGCCGACTAGATTTTTTCCTAAAAAAATTACAGCAGCCCACTAGATTCTTTATCAGAAAATATTTTTTGTCCTGACATGTAATGCTTTACATTTTATTTTTAATTTCAAATCGGTGATTTTTATCAAAAAATACAAGAGATAAAAAGTTTCTAAACATACTAAACTATCCAAATTATTTTTTTTGCATGTTTGATAAGATTTTTCTTAAATTTCGTTAACAAGAATGAGAGTAGACAATTTCAACCCCTTCCACTCATTTTAAAAAAGTGAAAAAATTACCAGAAAGTGTGTTTTCATAACAGTAATGCTTCCATAAAATTTTATTAGTCTGTCTCTTTTCGTTTTCAAGATAAAAAATAAAAACATTATTTTTCCGCCATCTTTGTACCGCAATATCTCCCTAACGGTTGACTTTTGACCCAACGTTTAGGAAGCAAACTACCCTTTATTTTGAACAAGGAATCACCCCCTGAAGTTTTTCGCATTTGTTTTGAAACACCCTGTATATACCTATTTATAGTAATAAATACTTTTTTGGCAAATAAAATATGAACCATACAAATGCAGCGAATGTTTTATAATATACAAATAATGAATAGGTAGATAAGATAATGGGTAAAATGTAAAATATATTTTAAATTTTGGGGTTTGAAAATCGATATAATTTAACAAAAAATATTCAATATCCACTAATAGTGATGGATTATTATTTGCATTCACAAAATTTATATGTATATTTTGAAAGTATCAATGTTCGAAAAATTATATTTGCAAATAATAAAAGATCATAGAAAAAAGGCGTCAGCGATGGCTATGAAATAAAGATCGCTGTCATTTTATATGTAAAATTATTCTAAAATTTTTGATTTTCTTGGGATTTAGGTTTGGGAGAAACGCTGATTAAGTTTTCATTTGGTTTTTCATTATTTTTTTTTTTGGTTAAAAAAAACGTTTTAATATAACAAAAAATACGAGGAATAATTATGTTTTCCATGTATTCTACAACATATTTATTAACCTGTAGTATCTAACTAGCGTGACGTCATAAATCTCGCTCCGACGCTGTACTATTAGAGACGGCATTGGTCTGATATTTAGAAATGTCAAAAGCTGATGACATTTTACTTTTGACAATTATGACATTTCGTGTTGATTTTTGCAAGAAGGGGAAGAACTGTCACTTGTTTTATTATTTTCCTTTTCTATTTCACGAAAGTAAAAAGAATTACCAATCTGATTCATTCCGGCACTTAATTTAAAGAATATCAGTAACTTTTTTGACAGAGGGGTTTTATATTTGCCATGTTGGTAAGAAATAACGGTCAAAATTCAAAGTTATTAATTTTATAGACTATATCTTATTTTTATTCTAGAGATTACCTTAGACATACAAGGTGTCTCAGGAATAAATGCAAGTATTTTAAGGGGTGGTAGATCTGGTCAAAAGAGACATCTTTTCTATTTACCGTTTTGTGCTTAGGATCACGTCACAAAAGTATTAATTTTTGTGACGTTTTGTGATTGAAAAAAATATATCTTTTTAATTTTAGGCGTGGCTACTTACGCGGCTGCAGTTTTGTTCCGTATGTCCGAGGATAAGCCTCAGGAATACAAGAAACGTCTGTCCATGGAACTGTCCAGCTCTCTGTTCCGCGAAGAGAACCTCTGGAACCCTGATCTGGGTATGGGTACCGATTTCCAGGTAAGTAAATCCTCGAAAAATCCAGATTTTTTTCCATAAATTAAATGTATATCTTAGTGGGGCCAATCCAGATCAAATAAAGTCAGGTAAAAGTACATAATATGTATTTTTTAACTTTTTTTAGAGTATATATGTATATTTTGTCAGTTTTTTTGTTAGTGCTGTTTATTTTATTTGCCTGTATTTTTTTATTTGATAGATACGAGGGTGGTGTGAAGAGTTTCTGACCTCGCAATGATACACATTTTTAAAGTGTAACTTCTTTACGCGCGTTGGGAGTAAAAATTCAAGCCCGTGATTAGGGAATGCAATAATGCGGGATCCCTCTGTGATTCCGCGGGATTTACCGTGCGGGATCTGCGGGATCGACACCGGGGGATTCCCCTTACAGCTTGGCCATTAAAAATAACTGAAACAAATAGGTTAATTGTTAGATTTCTTTCTGGCGTACCTAAGTGAAGAAAAGCGTTTAACTAGTACTTGTGGACAATTACGTCAAATAAACTGCCGAACATAATTATCGGGACAAGCAAAATTTTAGGGTAAATTTAAAGTTGAATATCTCTTGAACTGAAAAAGATTTTGGGATGCGGTTTGGACCAGGTTTTAGATGCATCTATTGTGATTAAGATACTATGTGGTTTTCGAAAATATGAAAATATATTTACCGAATTTTCGTATACAGGGTGTTTTATAAGAGTGAAAATTTGGTCAAGAATCTTTTTACCGCAAATTTACAATTTTTAAAAAATCGAAATTTTTATCAAGTACGACTAATCTGTATTGAAATTAGAAAAAAACAATTTGATGGGGTTTTTATTTTTTTTTTGTTTTAAGGAAAATACGACGTTTTTTATACGATGGTCCTAAATGGTACAAAAAGCTTTGTACATTATGCCAAAAAATTATTGATATGAGTGTATCTGAAAGCAGATAACTAACACAAGTTAAAAAAAACTTCAACATCAGAATAATATTTTTATTTATAAAATAAGTAGATAAATTATAATAAAATTTAAGTTTATTTTAATTTAAGTTTATTTAATTTAACACCCTGTATACATCGGTCCAAATTTCTGTACAGATAGTTTAAAATACACGCTATATCAATATATTGTGGGCCTATGCAAACTGTACAATGCCTTTTGCACCATTTAGGACCAAATGTATGACTATAAATGCATATTTTTCGAAAAAAAATCGTATTTTCCTTAAAACAAAAAATTTAAAAAAAACACCAAATTGTTTTTTCTAATTTCAATACAGTTATTGAAATTACATTAGTCGTACATACTTAACATTTCGATTTTTCAAAAATTGTAAATTTTCGGTAAAAAAGATTCTTTACCAAATTTGTACACTATTATAAAACACCCTGTATACGAGAATTCGCTAAATATATTTTCGAAAATCACATAGCATCTTAATCACAATAGATGCGTCTAAAACCTGGTCCAAACCGCATCCCAAAAGGCGGAGAGAGAAAAGAAAATCATTTATTGTTTACGATCCCGCAATTTTGCGGATCCGCGGGATTGATTGCTTTAATCCCGCAGGTTTGCGGGATTGAGATTTTGGTGCGATATTGCAGTCCCTACCCGTGATACACGAGCTAGCATCAGGAAAAGTGGTAGCAGCGGTGTTGCCACAGCTACCCCATTTGGGGTAGATCTACTCTTTTGTCAGGCAATTTAACTCGCTCTGGGCAACGATGTGTGCCATACGCGGCTAAGAAAATCACTATAATAAACTTGAGACTGCACCTGTGCACCAATGTTCTCTAGTTGTGTGCTAGGAAGTAAATTTTCACTAGTAATACCACTAGAGGTAAAAAAATTTAAAGGATTTAATTTGACCTCGTGTGGCATTCGGTAAGAAAATTCCACACCAAATTGTGTTTGAAAATCAAATAATTAAAATGTATTTTTCGATTTTTGGTCGACTTGATTATTTAGTTACTATAAACTATTGATTTCTACTGATTGTAGTAGCTCAAAAGTGCCATTTTAGGACCTAAAATATTATATTCTTTCATTTTATAGTTACTTGGGCTTACTACAAGTGGTAAAAAATCATAATTTAAAAGGTTTTTCGGAACGCTGCATGAACAGATTTACAGCGCGTCACAGTTGTGGCAGCAATTTAGACCTTTAAATTGTTGACTACTTGTTGTAGTTGCACGAAAATACCATCTCAAGATACAACACAATATATTCTTTAATTTTACATAAGTTTTGAGTAACTACAAGTGGTAGAAAATTGCTTTTTTGCATTTTTATTAACTTTTCATAAACGCTTTATTGGTATGGAATTCATAACCAACGCGCAGCGTCAGCAAGCGTCAATCATAAAAGGCTGTGATCATCGTATTTTGACAGTTCAAAATATCAGAAAAACTCGCGTTTTGTTGTAATAAAGCAAGGACTGTATATATTCTAAAGGACTGTTCGATCGCGACAAATCGCCGCTGTCGTCGTCGCCGTGGAATGCTACGTCACGCGCTGACCAGCGCTCCACAGTGCGGCGGATGGCTATTCTAGCGGGACAAAATCTCAAGAGCAATGTTTGGGACTTAAAATCTAAGAACGTAGCAAATGGTCTAATATATAGCAACTATATGGTTAAATTTATTTATTTATTAATAAATAAATACAAGATAATAAAACTATGATATTATTCGTACATGACACACAAAAACCGTATTGTAAACTATTGCCAAATACATAAAATTATGATATCAAAAAACTCTTTAGCAGTTTTTTTTTAATTAATTTGTAATCTTGTGACACCCTCTATAATTTATTTTAAAAAAATATATTTTATTTTGAAAATAATAAATAAGATAGATATTTTAATTTTAATTTTAACACTAACGGTAATTGTAAATTCATATATAGTAAGTATCTAAGACAATTTTTTAAACTCAGTGCCTTTTGATGGAGTTGTTTTGTTTTTATACTATCCGATTGAAATGAATTTTTTTGGGCATTCACTTGTTAAGCTTGAACTCCCTGTGACTGTAACTACCTATGTTGGTAACTATTGGTCACTCAAAAGATTTACATCATTCAATATATCGATATTTGAAAAAAAAGTGAAAGTTTGATATCTGCAGAACAAAGACACGAAGGATTTTAACAAATAATATACGTACAGTAGAAAAGTAGTACATACCTTTGGCAATCTTCAACATAATTTGGCTTTCTAATAAAATGTATAAGCACTTGTAAATATTTTGTTTTCGTATGATCTCTGCCTTGCTGAGCAGAAAACGACCAAATTTGGTTGATAAAAATGTATCGAAATACAAAGAATATTCATGCATTTTTGTATCAATTGGAATGTCTACTATATATTCTTATCAGTACACATTTTTTGGCTTATTTCTAACCAAACGCTTTTGTCCCGCTAAATGTATCTTCCAACGCACTGTGCGCTCGTCCGTCAAATGCAAAAATAACTGTGACTGTCTAAAATCTTTAGCGCCAACTTCAACTCGGTCAGTAGATGACGTAAAAAAACTGACAGTGCAGGAAGATAGGAATCGAACTATTCTTATCTCTATAGTATCCTTGGTAATAAAGAATATTGTGGCAGCTTGAAAAACCAACAAAATTCTTTGTTTTAAAAATGAATCGGTTTGAAAATCATACTACATGCAAAATATGCGTGAAATTGTCTGATGTAATGATCAATCATCGTGCGATGACTTGTTTACCTGTATTAATAGAGGATTGTGGCTCCTACTTGAAGAAAGAAAATTTGTTTCGGATTGTTCACGAATATTTGCATCTAAACTACTCAAAATTCAAAGTACTAAATGAAAAAAAGTGAATAATATAAAAAGTGTCTAAATATTATACAGGGTGTCCCAGAAATGAGTGCAGATATTTTAAGGGGTGGTAGATCTGGTCAAAATAAACATATTTTCTCTTTACCATTTTTAAAATAAATTGAAAATAACCGAGTTATTTAACTTTGAAAATTTAAAAAATAATCGCAACATTTTGAGAACCGCCGGCAGATATCGCCAACTACATCCAATTACCCGGATCAAGCCCGGATTTCAGTTAATTCGACGCACTGTGTTGCCATAGGGACAAGAAATTTATATGTTAAAAGTAAGTCATAAAATCACAACACCTGAGGAGTTTGCAAAGATGCATTACATTTTTAAGATTGTGATATTATTACATAAAATAAATTAAAAGTTAAATGTTTAATAATGTGTTAAAAAAGTTAAATTAAAAAACTTAAACCAACATTAAAAAAGATACTTATGACAGATCGATGTAACTGTGACAGTTCTCTTTTTCGATATACACTTAACTAAAATACACTTCACTGTGCTGCAGATATTTTAAGGGGTGGTAGATTGTACACTTGTATATGCTATTATAATAACTACTAAAATAACAGTCCCCATTTTTAACACATTATTTTCATATAGGCCTCATCACAATTTGAACCACTGATTTACAAAACCCCTTGAAAAGCACACATTACTTTGAATACCTTTCTGAATGAATAAATGTTGAAAATTATTATCTCTTACCGCCACTTTCCGAACTACTTTCAATCTAAGAAAATACATGTTTCACTCAACAATTTTAAATACGTATTTTGTTTTTTCGCTATTTTTTCTATGTATTTCGACAATTCCATCGACAGCACGACCGTCGCGTCGGGCAAGAGACCCGCGCATCACTGGTAACTGCTCCTTTGTCGCGCCGCCGTGTCGAGCTTGCGTCATGCGATGTTGCCGTAGTTTCAACTATTTCAAATTCAAGACACTCGAAGCAATCAAATTCATATTAAATTTTAAAAATAAAACAGAAAAACATGAAAGGAAACAAACAAAACACAAATGAATTGGTTATTTCAATACATCGAAAACAGCCCGACGAATAATCAATTAATTTTTGTTTTGTTTGTTTCCTTTCATGTTTCTCTGTTTTATTTTTAAAATTTAATATGAATTTGATTGCTTCGAATGTCTTGAATTTGAAATTGTTGTAACTACGGCAACGTTGCTTAACATCGTCGTCTGACGCAAGCCCGCCACGACCGCGCGGCTAACGGTGATTCAAAGGACCAGTTCACACGCGGTGCTCTTGGCTGACGGTTAGGCTGTTGATGGAATTGTCAAAATACATCGAAAAAATAGCGAAAAAACAAAATACCTATTTAAAATTGTTGAGTGAAACATGTATTTTCTTAGATTGAAAGTAGTTCGTAAAGTGGCGATAAGAGACTCTCAACATTTATTCATTCAGAAAGGTATTCAAAGTAATGTGCGCTTTTCAAGGTGTTTTGTAAAACAGTGGTTCAAATAAAACAGAAACATGAAAGAAAACAAACAAAACAAAAATGAATCGATTATTCGTTGGGCTGTTTTCTAATTTTCTTGAATTGACGATAAACTAAATTACGATAAACATTTTAGGAATTTCTTTTTTGTGACCTGATTGTGAATAATATGAATCATTTTATTAAATTTATTCCAAAATAAAGTTATTTTGCAGCATAACAAAGATTTTCGTAAACGTCATAAACGTAATGTTTTAGTTAATTTTCGGTGGTTTTTGTTAAGTTTTCATTGAAAGGGTAAGTACTAAAAATAATTAATGTGTTTTTTTTCTATAATTATTAATAATGAGCACTGATAAAAGATTAAATTTACCATTCCTAATTTTTTGAGTAGAAATTTGTCTATGAATTTATAAAAAATGTAGAACTATGTTCCGCCGAACTATGTAGAATGTCGATAACATAGGAGGTTGCAACACTGCAAGGTTTAGATACACCGTAGGGAAATCTCAGGTGAATAGACAAGTGGCACTAAAAAGTTTTTTCAAATTTCCCGGAAAATGTCAAGAAAAATTTTAAATTTTCAACATTTTTTTTTCGCAAAAAAAACCTCATAGGCGTGTTTCTGGGATTGAACTATACTACCAGTTAAAATATTTGCACTTATTTCTGGGACACCCTGTATATATTTCATTCGACATAGACATTTAATTCAGTCCATTCCAAGTCCTTCATTTTCGCCATTAAGAAGAAAGGAGGTGTCCAAAGAATATAGAAAACAACTCAGCTTTGTAATTGTAATGTATCAAAATTATCATGTAAACAAAAATCATATATGTCAAAAAATTTCCAGTATAATTCGCTGTTGGGTGCCCATAAGGAAAAAAGTTTCACTAAAATTTATCCGTTGCCATGGTGATTTGTCAAAAAAACACGTTTTGATTGGTTAAAAATTACAGGTGTGGAATTTTCATGCATATTTTCATCGATAGGTTTGTGGCTTCTGAATAACGGTCTAGGTAAAGCATCTAGCTCAATTGCCAGCTTAAAATTAGAAATATTAGGGTTAGTAACTCGCATTTTCATTGGAGGACACTGGCATATTTATTTCAAATCAATAATCAACGTGAATATTCCTTTAATTTAACAAAATCTTACTTAAACATTAACTAGTTATGTTCACAGTGAATAAAAAGTCACGTTCACAGGTATACCAGGTGCGATTGTGAGTTTAGACATTTTTGAGGCTACCCTCGTTGTATTGGTACATATTTTGATTTATATAGACAACATTTTATTTTATCGTTTTTTTTTGTTGGATTTTTGTTTTTATTTTGATCATTTTAGGATATGTTAAGTCCTGAACAGGCTTACGATAATATGTACGCCCAGGACCCGCCTAGCGTTCACAGTAGTCATGGCGGAAGGCCATATCAACAGCAACAAGGTAAGATACAAGTCGAAAATAAAGCAAAAAAGATTGTCGCAAAAACTAACCAAAAAAATAGGGATGTCCAATTTAAGGAGAGATATTTTTTGATAATTTTGCACATCCTTTGGGGAAAAACTATTGAAACAAATACAATAACAAATTAGTTTGCTTTTTAAGTCTTTATGCAACAACAAAATAATAAAAAAAAATCTTTTATCTAATACATCTTTATTATTATGCTTTATAACATAGGAACTTTTTAAAGGTAGTACCTAACTATTTTCAGGGCTGAACAGAATTCTAACCTCACTTCGCTCAGTAAGAGATTGCGTATATCATTCCCATTGAAATGATCACAATTTTCTTAGCTTTCACAGTATGAATATGAATTGATTTAAGTAGAAAAATTTCCTAGTTGTTTGTGAATTTTTTGGAGTTCACTGTATAAAAGGATTTTTAAAAACTCAACTGGATTATTTAAAAAAAACTTATTATTTAAAAAAGTAGTAAAAACTACTTGGATCGTTTAAATGGAAAATGGCTAGAATGTGGATGTACGCTTAGTGCATGCGTTTCTTTTTTATTGCATACTTTTTTTTATTTAGATTTTGTTGTTTTAAATAATTTGTGCTATGCCTTTTTTGTATTTATTAGAAATTATACCGTATGATCGGAAAAAAATGCGTCAGCGATGGCTATGGAATGAAGATCGCTGTCATTTTATATGTAAATTTATATAGGAAATGTCATCGATCGTCATTTCCCAGCCAACTGGTTGCAGTTTTTTTTTCGATCATACGGTAGAATATACGCTGCTGAAACAACTAAGTGAAATTCCTAGTTAACTTTTGGTTAATTCAGGTTTTCCAGATGAAATTTTGCAAATTCCCTAAATCATTACTTCAAAATTCCCTAGAATCCCCTCATTCCTTAGAAATTCCCCAACTTCTAACAATCTAGAGTAACTAATGTCATATTGTCAATAATACTACTAGATAGGACCATAGTCGCTGTCTTTAGGGGGAACTTATATGTCAACTATAAACGAGAGAAACCACGTGGATGAAGGAAATTTCGTAAAATTTTTAATGCAATCAATTGTCACTAAAATTTGTTTAAAAATATTTTTCTAAAATTTCTCTTCATCATTTTTCTTTCCTCACAATCGCTATTTTTCCTAAATCTAAGGAAACTTTCCTAGACGTGACAACAGTATTGTCAAACCGTTTAGCTATAGTAGCAGCTGCTGGCAACCTTACCGCAATTCTGCTACAATTGGCAACATTGTCTGTCAACTATGGGTTAATTTAGCCACCTTCACGTATATCTAACTCCTCTAACTATAATAATTTTGTTTTTACAGCCCTGTTTAGCGAACTACAAATAAATATGGACATGGACATGGATACCATGGAAGCGCTCCCAGCGCCGCCCGAGTCTAACGACCAAGTCGCGGCTTGGTACGACACCGATCTTTAAAATAGTTTCTCTAATATTGACGTTGACATTTCAATGTCAAATTCGAAATTATTTTACAGGTCGACTTTGGGAAAATTGGTCAAAATAAATTCGATTTTATATTGATCAATTCCTTCCGTATGCGAGCGCGTTTTAGAACGCGGAGCCATCTATTGTCCAATAGCCGAACTAAAAAAGGTTGGAGAAGTGACACTTCTCGTTGTTTTACTCATATAGTTATAAAAGAATATACTACAGGCATCAATATTGAGGGAAAGAGTAAAAAATCGGTATCTGGTGAATTGCTGAAGCTTGAAAAGCTTGAATGATACTGAGAAACATGTAAACAATTTTAAATGTGTCACTTCTGTAACCTTCAATTTAATTCAAACTTATGAGACATTATATTTATTTTATTAGCTCTATCCAAACGTAGTAGGTTTACTGCCTTCTGTTACTGCTCCTTTTTTTTATGTAAGTACTCGCATGGGGTATTTTCATACCCCAAATTAATTTTTGATGAGAAACATGAACAAAAAATGCCATACGAGTAATTATGTAAAGCATACTCGTTTATTTAAATTTTGACAAAATGTAGACATTGAAAAGCTTGTAAATTGCAACTAAATATTAATTGTGTGAATTTACGGATTCGGAAACTGCATTGGCTTGATTTGCTAAGCCATTGTTGATGGATTTTATATATGCATTCAGTGCACTTGGGGCAATCCATTATTTCATGATTTCTAGGACCAAAATAATACCTTCATTTGCCAGTTTTGGACCTTTTTTGTACATGTAATGTTTCAAGATAATGTACTTAAGTAGATCTTATTCGTTCCTCGTTATCCAAAAGAAGTATTTCTTGAAAAATTTCTATACCTATGTGGCGAATTCATCTCTCAAAAAAAAATCCTATATAGGTATTTCGCCACTGCACTGCAAGAAAATCTACAAAATAAAATAGTTATTATTTGTACATACTTCTGCGTTAAACCTAAACGGACACTACTTGTCAGAAGTTATGTTTACAGTTATACAAATTTGTCTAACAAAGAAAAAATGCTTAACTATATTTATGAATAGTTGAATTTAAATATTTTAAATAGGTTTTTTCTTTATTCTTTGTATTTTTTTTGCTTCCGACGACGGAAAGAGATGAACTGTCCGAAACGTTAAGCATTTTTTCTTTGCTAGGCGAATTTGCATAACTGTAAACATAACTTTTAACAAGTAGTGTCCGTTTAGGTTTAACGCAGAAGTGTTTACAAAAAATAACTATTTTATAGTATACAGGGTGGCGCACCTCATTCGCCTCGGTTGATTATACGAAAACAGAAAGATGTAGAAACAAAATATTTTATGGGTATATGTGGGGAGGTAATGTGGCACAATTTAAAATTATTTTGAAATATACAGGGTGTTTCAGAACTAAGATCCACACCAAAGTTATACTTTTTCTTATGGAATACCCGGTATTTTATTTCATTTTTGGATTCTTGGGCCCAAAAAAAGGTATTTATTATAAGGGTTAAATATGTTTAAGATCTTTGGTTTGTATTGATCATGAGTCGGTACATCAAAGGCGTTCGCCAACAAATGCCTCCGGTCTTCTCGTGCGTTTCTATCGTACGGTCCCCGTCCATACCACTAGCGAATATTCGTTCGTTCGTTCGTTCGTTCGTGCGGATAGTGAATACGCACCTTAACATATCTATTCGTTCCGCCAGCAGAAACGTTTTTTTTTCTTGATAAAATAATGAATATACTTACTTATTAAACTATTGTAAGTAAATTTAAGTAAACTGTTATAAATTATAAATAATGTCGACTCTGAAAATTTTTACTAACTGTCACTAGAAAATTGCCATGGCGACACCAGCCATCTTGATTACAATTTTATTTAAAAATCGCTTTTTATTCAAAATCTGAGCTAGATAGGTATAGGAAACCCTAATATAGTTTGAAAGAGCATTTGAATCTGCTTCGATTTATTTAAAAAAATACAGGGTGTTACATTTGAAATAACAAAGTTTTTATATAAAATATAATAATAATAATTATTAAAATAGATCAGCAACTTTTGATAGCCCTGTATAAATTTAAGGAACCAATCCCATTTTTTAGTAAAGTTTATTTCTCTACCTTTAAATTCAGCATAAGAATTAATTCTGAAAAGTAATGTACAGGGTGTTGATAATCTATTCTATTGTAGCATGCAAATTTAAATATTTTTAAATATCTCAAAAACTAAAGATTTTAAACATATTTAACCCTTATAATAAATGCCTTTTTTTGGGCCCAAGAATCGAAAAATGACATAAAATACCGGGTGTTCGATAAGAAAAAATATAACTTTGGTATAGATCTTAGTTCTGAAACACCCTGTATATTTCAAAATAATTTTAAATTGTGCACATTGTCTCCCCACATATACATACAAAATATTTTGTTTCTACATCTTTCCGTTTTCGTATAATCAACCGAGGCGAATGAGGTGCGCCACCCTGTATATGAGTATCACAACACAATTTACTTGTACTTCAAAACTAAAGTGTCAAAACGAAATAAATAAATAAATGGCAACTTTAAATTTCAGTCAGTCAGCCTGGCGCGGAATATGTCTATAGTTTGCAACAATGAATGGCTTGTAATTTTGACATTCCCTCGCCAATGTAAAACAATAGTTTGGGGTATTAAAATACGAGTACTGGAAGGTTAATATACCCAGTGGCTCATGTTAAAAGTAACATCAAATTTGTGTGCTGTCATTGATTCAGCAAATTGTGGCAATTATTTAAAGTTGATTATTCTATAAATTATTATTTTTTTGTCTTGCATTTATTTTTTTTTTCAAGACTTGTAGAAGTAGAATTTTATTATGAAATAATTACGATAAGTAGATAACGCAGTATTTATAAGATTTTTTGATGTTCGCGGAGAATATTGAACGAGCTTAGTAACTTTTAAGCTTAAATAAGACTTTTATATTCGTATATATTTTATATAATTTGTTTCATTTAAATACTTATATTGTTCATTATCAAATTACTTTATGTCTCATTTATTAATTACATTATCGTTATTTTGTCTAGTATATACTTAATCAATTATTATTAAATATGATTTCAAATGAATTAAATGTGGTATCCTCAGTTTTATATCTTCGATCGCACAATGTATTATAAAATATTCCTTTTTTGGATTTCATTGTATTGAATTAATTTGAATTTTAACTTTTTCAATTGAGAAAAAATCAAGTATTCTTAAAAAACAGGGTAGATTTGAATTATTATCGATAGGAAAAAAGGGTTGTAAAAGCTCTTTTTTATCAAAACTTACCGAATAAGTATATGTGCATGATAATCTAGAATTAAAATAAAATTCCTGATAATTGTGAAGGTGTGTTTTATTTTATTTATCCTTATAGGCTTGGTGCATTTCAGTTGATTTCAACAAATTACGACGGCAGCGCTTCAACGGAAAAAATCAGAAATTATCATTACCTGTTTCACGCCGCACAGTGTAACGAAATCGGGAAATGCGGGACATTAGCCCAAAAAACAAAACAATTAATTCATCAAGTTTTCTATATAGATGGATAAAGGACATCCCAGAGCTCCACCTTGTGAGATATTTCTTGAGTTGACCTCTTAGTCGGGGAGTTATGGCGGGTTAAAGTTATGGTTTCCTTAATTTACCAAATCTGTACAAAAATTTCGTACAATGAAATTTATTATTTTCAGAAGTTTCCTTGTGTTGTTCAATTCCAACAATTTTTTCCGTAAAGAGAGGTCTTTTACCAACAACAAACCTGAAAAAAATGTCCCAATTTTTTTTCAAGTCTAGTTTCTACATGTTTATTATGACTTCCAAAAAACGCTTACATTCGCGCAAGGTTATATATACAAAATATCTTAGAGTGAACCTTCTAGTATACTGTTACATATAAATTTCATCCACCTAGATCCGAACCTGGAAGAAAAAAATAAATTTCTTCGGCAATAATTACGTTTTCCATTGATTCGACCGTAGTTTGGTGACATGAAAGAGACAGCAGAACTATTTGTTTCCCTTTACGGTTGGTATTATATGCCTTCAAGCATTCATATGCTTTTGATTCATGATGCAGATATCTGTGAACGTTTTCAATTTATACCCATCGGCAAAATGTCCGAAGAAGCATCTGAATCAAGAAAGAAAGAATTTCGATCGTTCCGCCAAAATTTTTCCAGGAAGAGTGGTCGTAAAAAAACTATTGAAGATATATTGCACAACTTATTGATATATTCAGATCCTCTACTTTCACATCTGCGACCAAAGCACTCTAAAAATAAAAAAGTAGACTTGTTTCCGGAAGCGAAAGAGCTCTTGTATAAGGACGGAGAAGAAATTGAGAATGATTTTCAAGCATGTTTTATGTAAGTGCCTTACATATTATGTTATTTTGGAATAACATACACCCCACATAAATTATCGCATCACTTATTAATTTGGAAAACTGCAAAGTATTCTTAAATTCTCTTGGTTAAAATAATGTGTAATAAATGTAAGTTATTTGCTTAATAGCAACTTGTTAAGGAATGGAAAGTATATCATAACTCAGGCAGACCTTAGATTTAAGTTTTTCACATAAAAATGTTTGAAGCGTTTCAAGAATAAATACTACGAAAAATACAGGGTGTTTCAAAACAAGTGCGAAAAACTTCAGGGGGTGATTCCTTGTTCAAAATAAAGGGTAGTTTGCTTCATAAACGTTAGGTCAAAAGTCAACCATTAGGGAAATATCGCGGTACAAAGATGGCGGAAAAATAATGTTTTTATTTTTTATCTTGAAAACGAAAAGAGATAGACTAATAAAATTTTATGGAAGCATTACTGTTATGAAAACACACTTTCTGATAATTTTTCACTTTTTAAAATGATTGGAAGGGGTTGAAATAAACTACCCCTATCATTCTTGTTAACGAAATTTAAAGAAAAATCTTATCAAACACATGCAAAAAAATTTATTTGGATAGTTTAGTTTGTTTAGAAACTTTTTTATCTCTTGTATTTTTTTTGATAAAGCTCACCGATTTGAAATTAAAAAATAAAATGTAAAGCATTACATGCCAGGACAAAAAACATTTTCTGATAAAGAATCTAGTGGGCTGGTGTAATTTTTTTAGGAAAACATCTAGTCGGCCGCTGTTACTTTTTAGGTATGTTCCTAATATTATTTTATTTGACATTACTCTACTGCAATACGTTATTATCTAGATGATTATTATTATCGTT